ACTTTGTATCCTAATATTCCTCAGCACTACTATAATAAATAAGAAGCTCTGGTGGGGTAGTGTCTAAGGCATTTGACTGCTAACCAGAAGGCTGGCAGTTCAAACCCACCAGCTACTCCTCAGAAGGAAGGTTGGGCAATCTACATCCGTAGTGATACCGCCTTGGAAACCCTGACTCGATGGCAATGAGTTTGGTTTTGGCTTATAATGAATACTCCTACAGTAAGAGAGTTTACTTTGCACCAGTACCACTAAGTGCTTTAAAATTTACATGGTTCCATCTCACCTCTGCAAGAGCCCTATCAGAAAACATTTGCGAGCTCTATGTTACGGAAGAGGAAACCAAGGCCCACAGACATTAAATAATTTACTCAAGGTCACATCACTACTAGTGGTAGAGCCAAGATTTAAACCCAATTATACAAGACTTCAAGATCCACAACTTTAATCTTTGCAGTACAAGTCCTGTCATTACATTTAGTCTGTAAGCTCCCTGAAGTCAAGTATGATGACATAATTCTTTGCAACTCCCACAAGGCCACAGGTAATTTGGTGTTAAAAATACATTTTGTTTAATAAATTTGCTTTAGTTCAATGGGCATTCCTGTAAGCATTTGGTATATAAGGCTAGAGAGAAACATTTGTGATTTATCTATGTATAAATGATAACTGACTTGTAGACATGAACAGAATCACTTAGTATTTAAATGGAGATATAGAAGGGAGCTTTCCATGGAGTTTTGGAGACTTGGTAAAGGAGCATAATCTACCAAAGAAGGAGGGGGAATAAACAGAGAAGCAGGACAAAACCCAGGAGAAGTTGTGTTTGTCGACTCAAGAGAAGATAACATTTTAAATAATTAGGGAATAGTCCATAATGCTGAATGCTGCTGAGAGATGAAATAAGAAGAGGACTGGAAATTATCTACCAGATGTAGAGGCATGGAGATCACTGGTGGCCTTGGCTAAGAGCTGTTTTAGTGCCATAACGGGGACAGAAGCAATATGGGAGTGAGTTGAGGAGTGAATGGGAGGTAGAGAATGGAAATGTTTAGTTAAGAAATAAGGAGGGAGATCTGGGGTGGGAAAGTTGGTTTGTGTTTGCTTTTTATTATGAAATAATTTTAATCTTACAAAAAATTTTGCAAAAAATAATATAGAGAGTTGCTATATATTCTTTACCTACCTTCTCCTAGTGTTAAAATCTTGTATAACCATGACACAATGAATAACTATGAAGAAATTAATATTGGTGTAATGCTATTAATAAACTATACCCACTTCCTCACTTTACCGACATGGTTAGGTTCCAAAAACCAGGTGGTTATGGGAAAATCAGTGTTATGTGAAAATGGAGAATGACCATAGCACATCACAAAATGGAGGATGACTACATCATTACATGATTGCCAAATTAAATCACTGCCTAACTGCCAGATTTCATCATTACATAACTGCCAAACCACTCAGAATCATGGCCCAGGCAAGTTAACATAAACTTAACCATCACAGCTAGCATTATTCTTTTTCTTTTTTAAAATTTTTATTGGGATTTGGGTAAAAGTTTATAGAGCAAATTCATTTTCCATACAGCAGTTCACATACACTTTGCCTCATGACATTCACTGCAATCTCCCACAACGCAATGGCTCCCCTCCCACTTTTTCCTCATAGCTACCTCCTCCCTATGTCCTACCCTCCCATGCACTCTTAGCCCACCCCTGAGCTGTCTTCCTGTGCATACACAGCCCTTCTATTTTCCCATGATTGATCTCTCCAAGTAGTGTATCTACCTCATATAAATGTTCAGCTTATATGCCTGTCTTTGGTTTGGATGGCAACCATAGGAGTGGGTTCAATTCCAGACCTGAAGGGCAGCTAGGGGCCATAGTCTTAGGGGTTCCACAAAGCTCTAGCAGACCAGCAAACCTGGTCCCCCCCCCACCTCCTTTTTTTTATGATTTTGAGTTTTGTTCCACATTGTTCTCCCACTCTATCTAGGATCTCCTACATAGATCCCCCTCCAAGTGATTGACAGTGGTAGCCAGGTACCATCTAGTTCTTCTGGTCTCATAGTTGTATAGGCTATGGATTGCATGGTTTCCAGTCCCTTGGACTAATTGTTTTCCACGGATCTTTGGTTTTCTTCATTCTTCTTTGCTCTGGAGAGCAGAGACCCATTGTTGCATCTAGATGGCTGCTTGCAGGCTTTTAAGATCCCAGTCACTACTCACCAAAGCAGGATGTGGAACAGTGTTTTGTGTAGTATGTTATGCCAATTGAGCTTTATGTTGCCTATGACCATGGTCCTGAGTCTGTAGGTCCAACTACTGCTAGCATTATTCTTGTCCCTCAATTGGACTTTATCTGATATTTTCTTATTGTTAGACTGAGGTTATTATTAGATTGGCAAGAATATTACAGAAGTTAAGTGATGACCCTTCTCAGTGCATCAAAGCTGGGGGATATGCTATCCATATGTCTTATTACTGGTGATGTTAACCTTCCTCATTTGGTTAAAGCAGTGTCTGCCAGGTTTCTCCAGTGTAAAGTTACTATTTTTCTCTTTGTAATAAATATCTAAAGGGGTAAATATTTTACTTCTCCTCAAACTTTTGCCCACTAATTTTAGCATCCCTATCTCTTGTTGCAACACTACTGTGGTGTTTGTTACCAAATGAAAAAATTGGACATAAGAGTTCTAAAATTAAATACTTAAAAATACAACATTAAATATAAAATATAAAGTTATATTACTCTTACCACCATTGGTTCCAACTACTGTTAAATACTATGAAAAAACTGTTGTATGGTGAAATGAAAAGCTGTCTCGCCACCTGGTTCTGTCTTTGATTCAGTTTTGATCTGAATCAAGGTCCTGCCAAGAGAACCAGAGAGAAAATAGTGCCCATATATTTGTTACATACTTATTCTTCCTCCTTTCTCTGCTAGCCATCTGGAAGGCTCACATTCATTTTGAGTACATAATAATGTTCCTCTTTTCTCCATGTGTAAAGTCAACTTCCCCCTCAATGATTTATGCTCAGGTATCTTTTCCAAGTTTCACAGAGCTGTCTCTCAGTAGCCAAAGAAACTTACCCCCGATGCTATCAACCTGGGCTTCTGCTGTGTTAGGTGCACCACTTCGATGATCCAAGAGGGATTCAGTTCTATCTCCTGCTGGCAAATGGGGCTGCTGTTGAGGAAAATACACACAAGTGTTAATTTAGTAATAGGCTATTTCAGAACTAAATCCAGAAAAGCTTACACATTCACTCCTTGGTTGGCTTTAGCAAAAGAGTAATAAGAGCTAGAGGCAAGAAGAGAGGTTTTGATCAACATCACATTAAAGACTAAAAGTCTAAAAATTCAGCAGTCCAGGAGTTATTTTCCATCAAGGAAAAAACTAGGAAGCGTTATAGTTTTCCTACAGTTTATTAAAATGTTTTTGCTTGTTTTATACCCACGTCGTATTCCAAATGTGAAAATGCACAAAACCCTGACAGAAACAGCTCAGAGACTGATGAAAAGATCCCTAGAAAGACAACATGGCACTGTACAATTTTCTCTTGGTTCTAGGATAATGCCCAAGGGAAGCATGGGCCAAAGTCCTTGAGAACAAGAAGGTTGAAATTGTACTATAAGCTCACTGAGAACATGGATCTTATCCCAGATTTGAGTATAGAGCCTTGTACACAGGAAGTACTTATTAAAATAAATAAGTAAATTTTATTTTATGCTTAAGATCTGGAAGCAAGGAAATCTCACCATAGTTTTAAAAAGCATTCTAGCATTCCCAGGTATATCATAGAACTGACAAGGGACAAGGCTGTAGTCACTTCTTGGGCACAGCCAGCTACCCAGAGCGAGTGAGTAGTTGAACCTGTGGGCTTGGGACCACAGCTGCAGGGGACATCAAGCTCAATTGGCATAACACACTACACAAAACATTGCTCCACATCCCACTTGGGTGAGTAACTGGGATCTTCAAAGCTTGCAACCAGCCTTCTAGATACAATGATGGGTCTCATGTTGTCCAAGCAAAGAAGAATGAAGAAAACTAAAGATTCATGGAAACGATTAGTCCAAGTGACTGGTACACCATGTGATCCTCAGCCTATTCGACTATGAGACCAGAAGAACTAGATGGTGCCCAGCTACCACTGTCAACCACTTGGAGGGGAATCTATGTAGGAGATCCTGGTAAAGTAGGAGAACAATGTGAACAAAACTCAAAATCATTAGGAAAAAAAAAAAAGAAGAGCGACCACGTTTGCTGGTCTGATAGAGCCTGATGGAACGACTGAGACTATGGCCCCTAGCTGCTCTTCAGGTCTGGAATTGAATCCACTCCTGTGGCTTCCAGCCAAACAAAAGCCAGGCATATGAGGTGAACATTTATACTAAGTAGATACACTGCTTGGGGAGAACAATCATGGGAGAATAGAAGGGCTGTGTATGCACAGGGAGATAGCTCAGGGGGCAGGAGTACGTGGAGGGAAGGACACAGGGAAGAGGTAACTATGGGGAAGAAGTGGGAGAGGAGCTGTTGCATTGTGGTGAATTGTAGTCAATGTCATGAGACAAAGTGTATGTGAACTGCTGTATGGAAAGTCAATTTGCTCTGTAAACTTTCACCCAAATCACAATTTTAAAAAAAAGCATTCTAACAAAAATCATGTAACAGCCCAAAACGCAAATATCTTGAAAAGGGCTTACTCTTTTAATAAGGGCTGACCTAGCCTGCTGTTAAGAGATGCTGGGCACAACAGGCAGATCCTCCTTTTATCTATTTTTAATATTCTTTGCTGTCCTTTAAATGGAAAGAAAAAAAACTGACAAAGGGTTTAAAGATTCATAATGACGAGGAAAAATTAAAGCCAAAGAGAAGAAAAGATGCAAGAAAAATCTTTACCTCTGAGAGACAGTTCTCTGCTGACCCAATGGTATGGTTTGCTCCAGCCAATGAGCTGAGAAGGCTAAAGCCTTGGTTCCTATCTGAAAAGGAAAAATGCAATCACTGGAAATTTTCATTTACATTTTAAATTGTTAAAATGATGGTTATTTTCTCACTATCAAAGTTCTGACTATAAAAACCAGTTACTATCAATTACCATAAACTCTCAATTCTGAATAATAAAAAAGTCAAATTACAGGTAAAATTACAGGCAGGACCATTATACAACTGCAACAAAACAAATGGCTACTCCTTAAAGAGTGGCTCTGGGTGTTCTGGGATGATTAACAGCACTGCTGTTTTAATAGTTACTGTACATTGATATGGAGCCCTAGTGGTACAGTGGTTAAAGTGCTCGGCTGCTAATCGAAAGATCAGTAGTTCGAACCCACAAGCTCCTCTGCGGGAGAAAGATGTGGCAGTTTGCTTCCATAAAGATTACAGCCTTGGAAACCCTATGGGGCAGCTCTACTCTGTCCTATAGGGTCGCTATGAGTTAGAATCGACTTAATGGCAATGAATCTGCGTTTATGCGCTAATATTCCCATGTTTTAAACTTTCAAAAACATTTTTTAAAATGAACACTAACATAGGTAGACATGTATGCTATACAGTTTTGGGAGGGCATATGGGGAGTATATGCATATGCATATACAGGTATACTTATAGCCATCTGTATATACCTATTTATATGTGCTGCATATATATTCATGTATATAAATAAGCACATAGTGGGTATAGTTAAGGAAATGTATTAGACATATTCAAACACCTTATAGGACTAAGTTACTAGGCTTGACGTCTAAGGACCATATTGTTGGGGGTCATCTAAGTCTAGGTGTAGTGGCATAACAGTTCATACAGATGATGTTCTACATCCTAGGTTGGTGAGTAGTGTCTGGGTCTTAAAGCTTGTGAATGGCCACCTATGACAGAACTATTGGTCTCTTCCCAGCTAGAGTAAAGGAGAGTGAAGGAAACCAAAGGCTCAAGGAATCAATTAGTCCACACGATTAACGGCCCACATGAACCACGGACTCCTATAGCCTGAGCCAAGAAAAACTAGATGGTGCCCAGCTATCACTACTGAGTACTCTGAGCAGGACCACATAAGAAGGTCCCAGACAGAATGGGAAAAAAAAGGTAGAACAAATGCAGATTCATGAAAAAGACCAGACTGACTGGACTGATCGAGACTGGAAAAACCCTGGAGACTACTGCCCTCAGACACTCCCTTTTAACTAAGAACTGAAACCACTCTCAGGAGTCACCTTTTAGCCAAATTATAGATTGGCCTGTAAAATAAACAGTAACACTCATGAAGAATATGCTTCTTAGAACAATCAACTATACAAGACCAAATGGGTAGCATTTACCACAAAGCAAAGATGAGAAGGCAAGGAGGGGCAGGGACACTGGAGAGATGGAAACGGAAAGCAGGGTGGAAATGCGGAGAGTGCTGACACATTGCAGGGATAGCAAGCAATGTTACGGAACAAGGTGCGTATAAATTGTTGAATAGGAAAATAATCTGCTGTGTAAACTTTCACCTAAAACACAATAAAATGTTCTGTAAAAAAAAAAAGAAAAGAAAGAAAGAATGTAAGGCATTATTACTAGGTAAAAAGGAACAGGAATGCTTTTTAAAATAAAGCTCTAATTTTGATGTAAGTGGGCCATTTGCAGCGAAGGCTCCCTTAGCTAACTAGCTAGCTATGTAAATACAGCTAGATACTTGTATTTAGAGCACAAATCTAGAGTAAAACATCCACAAGTGATGAAAGTCTAAGCACAATCCCTGATCCAGTAGTGGTCCCCTTAAACACTTGGAGCACTTACTAAAATAACCTAGTATTCAAAGGGCCCTAAGTCAGACTCACTGAATCAGAACCTCTAGAACAGAGGTCAAAGAGATCTTAGAATCAGGGAAGTCTGAAATTCAGTCTTGGAGTAGAACATAAAACCCAGAGTCCAACAGTCTACATGTACAGATGTGAAAGAGCTACTCTCTCAAAAGACAACTTCCCCCCACCTGACCTCTCCTCTCCTATCCCTTCACTCATTCTCATTTCTCTCTCTAAATCACCTCCTAACTTCCTATATTCTTTCTCCTGCCTGGTAAAACCTACTGTCAGATACTTGGGTCACACAGAGGAATCAAACGTTTGTAGTTCTCCTCCTTCTTGTCACTTGGGGAGATTTGCCTTTTAAATTGCGATGAAGCCCTAACTGGAATGCTGGGCTTTGGCCTGCAGCGTTTTTGTACCTGAACTCTCACCATCTAGGCAGTCACCAGCCTACTTAGTGCACACGGCTATCAGCCCAGTTCCTATGCTTCTAGCACCACAAAGGCACTGGGCAGCACTAAGAATCTGCTGTTTGCCCCCTGCTTTTCTTGCTCCACAACCTCAGCATTGGCCAAATGATCAAAGGTGTGCATGCACTCCTGGAGCCCGCCTGCACCTCCTTCAACTCATTTACTCTGGGAGGAACTCTCCAGGCCAAATACCTAGGTGTACCCACTGCAGGACAGCACATTAAGGGTTCATTCAGGTAGGGCTCCAATGCTCAGAGGTCTGTAGTGCTGTTCTCTGTTGTTGTTGTTGTTGTTTGCCGTCGAGTCGGCCCCGACTCATAGCGACCCCTCCTTGGGTTTCCAAGGCAGTATCACTACGGAGGTAGGATTGCCCATCCTTCCTTCCGAGGAGTGGCTGGTGGGTTTGAACCGCCAGCCTTCTGGTGAGCAGTCAAGTGCCTTAGGCACTATGCTACTCTACACTGATAAAAGTTTCACTTAGCCTGAGTATGTTAATCCAAGCATGAACATAACCCTTTCTGTTTGACCGATGTGCTACTGGTATGAGAGCAGTTGTACACAGTTTTGCAACAAACAGGGATTTTACATGCCACAGGTATATGTGAAAATTCTTACATTTTAGGCGATCTGTACAAAAGACATTATTCTGAGTATTAGTGTACTGCTGTAAAACAGCTTTTATTTCTATTACTATAAATAACTTGGGCTTTTGGGAATTTTCAAATCTAATTCACAAACCTTGCCATATTCCAATTCCATGGCTTATTTTTTCCTCTGTTAGGCGTTACCTAAATTTGGCAGGCCAGATGCAATTCATGAAGAACAATGCAATACAACGTAAGTTTATGCATATTTTTAGACCAAAACAGTCTATTTAAAATGCCCCATTCTTGATGAGAGCAAGAGATCGTGGATAGAGTGGGAGAAAGATGTGCAACAAAACTCAAAAATTATGAAAAAGACCAGGCTTACTGGTCTGATAGAGACTGGTACCTGAGACTACACCCCTAGTCACCCTTCAGGCCTGGAATTGAACTCACTCCTGTGGCTTCCAGCAGAGCAACAGACAGGTGTATAAGGTGAACATTTACACCAAGTAGGTATACTCCTTAGCACATTCAACGATGGGAGATCAGAAGAGCAATATTTGTACAGGGAGACAGCTCAGAGGGCAGCAATGTATAGAAAAGGACACAGGGAAAAAGGAAGAGAGCTGTTATATTAGAGGGATTGCAATCAATGTCATGAAACAAAATGTATTAACTCCTATATGGAAAATGAAGTTGCTCTGTAAACTTCCACCCAAATCACAATAAATAATAATAATAATAATAAAGTCCCATTCTCTTCAGTTGCTGCCCACAAGGAGGGGGACAGGATAGACAGGAGTTAGGAGAGTTATAACTGTCCCTGTATAGCCTAACCCTTTTTTTATCTTTTGACTTTTTTCCCATGCTCACGTATTACTTGTTTAAAGAGATTTTTTTTTTTTTTCAAATTTAATGTCTCATACTAATAATGAATAAAATTATGAAAAAAGTTAGAATGGTAGAACTAGGCTAGTGCCCAGAAAACCTAAGTTTCATTTCTGGCTCCGCCTTCCTATGGGATCTTGCACAAATCAATCGATCTCTCTGTGCTTCAGTATTACGATCTATAAAATGAAGGTCTGGAGCCCTGATGGCACAGTGGTTAAGCAGCTGGTCAGTGTTTAAAACCCACCAGCTGCTCCACAGGAGAAAGATGTGTCAGTCTGCTTACATAAAGATCTACAGCCTTAGAAATCCTGGTGGGTTGCTATACAGTTGCTATGAGTTGGAACTGACTTGACAGCAATAGTTTTTTTGGTTATTAAATGAGAGGATGGCTATTCCTGGTTGCCAAAGTTCCATCTGATCTAAAGGTTCATGATTTTATGAAGTAAAGAACCATTCTTTTAGCTTCTCTCTCATTTCTTCCTTTAGCCTCTCTTGATAATAACTTAGAATTAACTGGGTTTAAGTATTGTTGTTGTTATGTGCCATCGAGTTGGACTGGATTCATACCCCTTCTTGGGTTTCCGAGGCAGTATCACTATGGAAGTAGATTGCCCCATCTTCCTTCTGAGGAGTGGCTGGTGGGTTTGAACCACCAGACTTCTGGTTAGCAGTCAAATGCCTTAGGCACTAAATAGATAAAATAATAACCTTAAATTTCATAATCCTTTTAAGATTAACAATGACTGAGTTTATAATCAGGTTTCAGGTAAATTATAATGAACTTGAAAAACTTTTGCTCAAAACTTTCTTAGAAGCAATGCAGAGTTTAGTTAACTAACAAGACAGTTGATTATGTTCCATGGCTTATATTTTTAGGAAGTCAGAAACACAGATTCACACAATAAGAAAAATAACTAATTTTGGTTTATCCAAAGCAGACTGCTTACACATTAATGCTGCTAAAAAAAAAAAAAAAAGCTGCATAAAATTTTACACACATATGGCTTTAAAGGAACTCTCAGTTTTGCTTGGTTCAGTGTTTATTAAAATGCTGCCCACGTGTACCCTCTGTAAAACTATTCTTGTTATAGAAAAACATTACATACATCTTTTCTTGTTTGCTGGATTTTTTTTTTTTTTTTTCCTCAGCATTCAGGGCATGGAAATGTCATTTCTATTAAGAAGGGTTTGTATCTTTAGCAGACAGTTGTTGAAGTTGACTCTACCATCTATGGCTTTATTGCTA